GGGAGAAGAGCTCCTCATCCGGATCCCGAGGGAAGTACACCGATGCCAGATGCGTGTAGTAAAAGGCATCCAGCGGATCACTGATGCACAGGGTGCATGTTTACCCCGCTGGCCTCGAAGCTTACATGGGGCGCCGGCGGGACGTGCGCCTGGAGGCCAGCCGCCCGCGATGCTCGGCTCGTTGCGCTCTGGGCGTGCCGCCGGCGGGTCCCGCGCAGCCTGGCCCCCTGGAGGCACCGATGCAGGCGAACCGGCCTGTAGGCCCCCACGAGGGTGCGGTCCGTGCAGACGAAGAGGCTGCCACTAGTGCGGGAGGGAGGGCGGGGGGGGGGGGAGGGAGGGGGAGAGGGAAAAAGGAGCGGGGGAAGAGGGGGAGGGGGAGGAGGTCAAGGGGTGACAGCACACTGGAGAGGGGGCCTGGCGGCGGCGCGACTTGTCCCCCTCCACCCCGGCCAGATGCCACCTCCGGTGCGATCAGAGCCCCCGGACGAGGCAGGCTAGATCCTCTCGCCCGGCCGCCCTCTCTCCTCCTGGTCGAGGGATCGCGGCGGGTGGCGCGGACCGGGCTCCGCCCTGGGCCGGCGATCTGGACGGCCTTGGGCAGTGGGAGGATCACGATGCTCTCTTTGTGGCACGTGAGATGTCTGCGTGATGCGCAGACAAAGGCCCGCCAGGAAACACGCAGACCCCGGAAGGCGACACGCGCGGTTGGGGGGTGGGGCCGGCTGTGGGCTGGGTGCCCACACAGACGCAAGGGGCCCCCTTTCACGCCGGGGCTCCGCCGTTGGGAAAGCCACCGCTCGGGGGGCTGGCTTTCCCGTTGTGGCACCTGGCGCGCGGGCCTGTGACAACAGTCGGAAAAGTGCGCGCCCGAGTGAGCGCACACCAGCGGCCGGGGGGGGAGCGGGGGGCACGAACAATTGGGAGCCGGTGGCGGCTCTGGTGGCCGCCCAAGACCCGAGGGCTCCGAGCCGGCCGGTGGAGCGCGCTAGCTTGTGCGCGCGCGCGCGAGCGCACACCACGGCGGGGCTCCTATGAACAGCTCCGG